GAGTTCCAGTTGGTGAGCAGTTATAGCTACCTATCAAAGAATATAGGAAACTGCCATATACTGGGCCAAACTCTTGGTTCATCTAGCCTGGTGTTGGTGCTACTATTAGCAGCTTACCAGGATTTCAAGTACGAGTTTTTCCCAGCTTTAACTGGAGATGCTGGGGATTTTCTGCATGCAAAGTATGTGCTCAGCCACAGAGTTACAGACCTTCCTCTTATGTATATGTATGCATTCTTAAATACCCTATTTATTTTAATGGGCCATTATTATAGAATATTACAAAGGTTACCAAAACAACTGGCTCTGGAAGAAAGGAGGTGAGCTGTGCCATAAGTCCTTGCTTGAGGTAGGAATGCTTACTGCATGACTAAGATATCCCCAGCCTACCTCTGTGAAGGCCTCCTCTAGACCTAGAATCACAGGGGGGTTCTTCATTCTTGAAGCCTGACAGTTATGGCTTCATTAGGCCATGCCACCTGTGCTGTTCCCATAGTTACAAGACTTTATGGGCAGCTTACGGAAGGCACTCTGCTACCTCTCATTCCCTAGGGGGCAGACCTGACCTCTGTTTTCATGTTCCATTATGCAGGAGAAAGCTGCAAGATAGCCACTACCTGTTTGCATATCATATAACGTCCCTTGTGGAACCTGCAAGCCATGTCCACACAACTGAAAAGCAGGCATTCGCTCCTGCATCCCTCCTGTCTGCCACATGTTGCAATTTGAGACTTAAGGATAAAGGCTCAAGACATGTCAATGTCACACAAAGATTCTGCCTTCTCTGAATCTACCTGGATCTTTCAGGTACGGAGGAACAAAGATAAAAACAAAACTATATATCCTCAGTGTGTATCAGCTTCTATGCATATGTATTCATATGTCTGGCATTTTCACATTGATCCACATAATCAAAAAGAATCAGCAGAAAAAAATATTTGAAAATGTATTTAAATGCATATATTTTGACAGGGAGGAATGAATCTGTCAATTTTGGTTCCTCTTAGTTACTAATTTGTTTCAGTCTTAAGTTTGTTTTATCCCATTTTAGATCAATTTATGAATTCTTATAAATCTGTTCCATAATGGGTACATATTTTCATATTATTCTCCCCCATTATACACGTTTATATGTTTATTCTAAAGTAATCACAGCTTCCAAGTAATTTTCCTTAATATAGCAATATTCTGTACATCTTCCATTAAAACATATTTTTTGTGCATACTTTCTGTTTATGTATTTTTAAAAAGCTGAGAAGTGCAAATACTGAAATACAGTGGTGCCTCGCTTTACGATTGCTCCACATTATGATGAATCCGCTTTACGACAATCTTTTTGCGATTGCAATTGCGATCGCAAAACGATGGTCTAAATGGGGGGAATTTCACTTTGCGATTATTGGTTCCCTGCTTCGGGAACTGATTCTTCGCAAAATGATGATTTTTCAACAGCTGATCAGCGGTTTCAAAATGGCCACCGGGTAAATAAAATGGCTCCTCACTGTGTTTAGGGACGGATTCCTTGCTATACAGGCAGCGAAAATTTCTGCCGTATATAAGATCTTCGCTGGACAGTGAGTTTTAAGCCCACTGGAACACATTGAAGGGTTTTCAATGTGTTTCAATGGGCTTTTTATTTTCGCTTTACGATGTTTTCGCTTAATGGCGATTTTCCTGGAACGGATTATCGCCGTTAAGCGAGGCACCACTGTATAACCATATTCTAGTTCACTTATTGATTCAGGAAGTGTATTATGTAAATTCTTATCAGAATGCAAGCCAAATGAAATTCTCCTCCATCCTAACTTTTTAAATGTATTTCTAACAAAACATTTGTCTATTCGTCTTCTACACAGTACACTTCTGAATGTGTTTTATCCTAAAACACGTCTTTAAATACATTTTGATACAATTTTGAATGAAGAACTGCTTCCACAACTTTCAGAATACGTGTATAATTCAGTTGATATTAACTTTCCCATCTGCAGTTTAATCCAAGAGGTCAGTTCACCAACTCAGATCTTCTCAGGCATCTCTGCTGAGAGCTGTAGATTTTTTGTTTGTACTCTGCTGCTTTGCTTTTCATATACAAAGAGTGTATATGTCTCTCTCTCTCTCTCTTTCTCTCTGTAGTATGTCTGAACAGGAAGTGAAAATTCATTTCCAATTTGCTGTATGCATTTCCTACACCTTTCCATTGCATAGCATTTCTATTGTGGGGATCTTCCACTCTCTTAGATCAACGTTATGCGCTACAATCCCCATCACCCACTCTGATCAGGCAAATTAAAGGCTCTGATCTCTTTTATTGAGCCTATCCATCTTACACTGGTCTTCCTTGTTTCCTCCCACATTTAAGTTTTCTTAGCATTATAGTATTTTCACAGAATCATAAAATCAGAGAATATTGGATTTGGAAGGGGCCTATAAGGTCACTGAGATCCCTGCTTAATGCACGAATCCAATACACAATATATCTGACAGATGGTTATCTAATTTTCACTTGAGTGCCTGGAGCACTCATCACCTTCTGAGGTAATTGGTTCCATTGTTGTACTGCTCTACAGTTAGCATGTTTTTCCTGATACTCAACCAAAATGTGGCTTCTATAATTTGAGCCCATTAACACGGCTACTTCTTCTAAAACATGAGCCCATTATTACATATCCTTCATTCTGGGAGGATCGAGAACAGCTCCTGCCATTCCTCTGTATGATTACCTTTCAAGTATTTGAAGAGTGCTATCACATCTCCTCTCAGTCATATTTTTTCAAGGTGAAATTTGTCCAGATCTTTCAGTCTTTTTTCAGAGGGCTTGTTTTCCATAGTCCTTTACAGAAAAACTATTCCTTAGAGCTTGAAAATATTACTTAAAAAAAACAAACAAACAAATAAACCCAAACCCTTCTGGCTGGTGGGTTCTGAGAGTTTTTGTCCAAATAAGAAATGTCTTCAAATCCTTTTACTTCTCCTCCCCCATTAATCTAATTTGTATAATGTCAACATAACACTACACATTACACTGTCACTGAAGAGTGGTGCAGCAGCTCAGATGCACTTGTAGAGCACTTGACGCAATCATTTGGAAATGGTCCAGGACAATCTTCCATTTTTTGCAGTCTGACAAAAAACAGATGGGCCAGATAGAAAGGGGGGGGAAATGTTGCCCTGTTTAAGCCACATGGCACACCTCCAAATGACAACATTAATGTGTGTGTCTGGAAACCAGCTTTTATAAGCAGTGCTATTTAGACTCCCATCACTGTCAAATCTAAAGAGCCCAGAATTCACAAACATCACTACAGAAATGAGGACCATGCCCTAGGCTGTGAGTCAACCTAATACACAGTAGAACAGAGTCATAAACAACAGGTAACAAATTAGCCGCCCATCTCTGCTGTCATTAAGTACACAGCAATAACCAAACTACAAAGCAATGAACAGCACACTCACAAGTAAGCAGATTATTGTTTTATGGCACCCAAAAGCACACTATGCACTTCAGAGCTACATAAGAACAAATAAAATGCGCACAGCCATGCCACATTCATGAAATGGTAAGAAATCATTTCCTAATCGAAGAAAATGAGATGTTGGGTGTTCAGTTCATAATAAACTCCCCAGGAGCAAACACCTGTAATCAAGAAGAAACCTGGAAAGGAAAAGAAGCTCACAATAATAAATATGTGTACACTCTGAGACACAAGGTCAACATCTACCTACAAATTTAAGTCAGATTCTTTGTTTTATCCAGCAGTTCTTGTGAACTGTGGTTTGCTATGGATGCTAAGAGATTTTGCTATGTCCCTTGTGCTTTCTCCCTCATTGTACTACGGTTCCCAGGATTCCTAGAGATCAGTGATTTAAAACAATTTAAATTTGCAATGTAGATATACTCAAAATACTAGAAATGGAAGTTGCATCTGCCTCTGCACTGGGAGATTCAGAGTTTAGGCTGCAATATTTGACATTACATAGATTTTTTTACAGTGGTGCTCTGCTTGACGACGATAATCTGTTCCAGGAAAATCGCTGTTAAGTGAAATCGTTGTCAAGTGAAAAAAACCCATTGGAATGCATTGAAAACTGGTTAATGCCTTCCGATGGGGAAAATACTTGCTCGTGCAGCGAAGATCCTCCATAGGGTGGCCATTTTGCGATCCCTGTCTTGCGGAAATAGATCTGGAAAACAGTGGGGAGCCATTTTGCGAACCGCCGATCAGCTGTTTTTAATTATCATCTTGCGAACAATCGGTTTGTGAAACAGGGACCTAATCATCGTAAAGTGAAAAAACCCACAGGAACCATCGTTTTGTGATCACTATAGCAATCGCAAAAAACTCATCGTCAAGCGATTTCATCATCAAGCAGGGTCGTTGTCAAGCAGGGCACCACTGTACTTTTAAAATACATATAAAATCGTAGACTTGGGTCACATAAACAATATGCATTTACCAAACCAAGATAAGGAAATGGTCTCTATTTTTCATGTCCAAGGTTCTGCATGTCATGTGTATACATTTTCCCTAATTGTACTAAACTCAAAAAGGTTACAGAGGAAGCACTACATAAATCACAAAATAATCTTCAGCTCTTAATATGAAAATGTAAACATGTCCAGTTTACCCTTTGTGCACCATTATCCTAGATATACATTAAAATCTCTACCTTGCTATGGCATAACAATGGCACACACAACATACTAAAGTCACAGTGGGTGGCTTTCTTAATGCTCACAAATTTCATAGTAAATTTGTCAGCACACAATCATAGAAAACCTTAATTAACAAAACAGGCAACAAATAGAACAAGTGACATTTTTCCTTCCATTTGTCTCTGTACCAGGGTAAACTTCACCTGCTATAGTTTTGTGCCTCAAATACACTAGTAAATGCACAGGAGCAGGAATAGTAAACGAATACAGTGGGGTTCTATAGTAATATGGTGTACAGGATACAGCATTTATAGCAAAAAAGTAATTGCTATCAATTCTTTTGTAGTATCATTGCAATTCCAAATGAAACTTATATAACGCTAGCTAAATGGTGGAAGAAGAATCTTGCATGCTGGTTTGTCCTAAGCCTTGTGCTCTGTTGAAGCTGTTGAGGTGAATGGGAGGAGGGTGCTTCTTTTACCACCGGCCAATGGCTTGTAGCACTCAGATTTTTCAAACAAAAACCAAAAACTATTTTGCCACTTTTGAGAAATGGGAAAGCCAAATCTACTTTGTAAAGTGTAACTAAAACGGTAACTATAGTTACTATAGTGTAATGATAAGTGATTATTTTCCAGATGGTTTTGGAATCACTGTGCTGGAAAATCTCCAGTCTCACTGGCAACCATTTGTGAGTGCAGGACACTTTCAGCTCAGTGACAGCATGTCACATCATTCCATCAACTCACAGTAAACTCACTGGTGTATGTTCTCTAGCCCCGAATGTATCTGCTTACCTGGAAAGGTCCTGCAGGGTTGATAGGTACATGTGCTTGTTGCCAGGCATTTCCTCTGTCCCCCTTGAGTGACAAGGCTTGAGTGGGCTGCTTATTCTTCACGTGAACCAAGAGATTTAAGGAGCCTGTAAGAGAGTGGCACCAGACACTGGAGTCACACTACTTCTCCACAGTAACCTCATCCTTTCTCTTGAGGGGGATGGGGGGTTACCTGCACAGAGCCGGACCTACCATTATGCAGAGTGAGGTGACTGCTTAGGAAATAGAATTATGCTGTCATGAAAGCATAACATTGTCTGCTGTTTAATCATTTATTATTGTAACTATACTGCTAGATATGGGGAGAGGTGTTGGAAGGACAGGTTGCCTCCAGTGACAAAAATACTCTGTCTGGCTTTCAGTACTACATGCCTTGATTTGGGTTTTTGTGGAGATACTACTTGCTATTCTACCTCAGGCAGCAGAATGTCTTGAGCCAGCCTCACAATTTATATTTGCATCCTTGCTAGATCTTGCATACTGGTTCTCCCACTGAATAATGTGCATATTAACACAAGGTGTTCAAAAATCCACACACTTCTTAAATGGAAAATAGGAAAAAAAGGTACCAGTTGAGAAGAAATGTCTTGCCCTGTGAAATGTTTCCCATCAGATTTTCATCAGAACCTCGATAATTTCCTATGATTCCAGAACAGGGTCAAGTAGTTACAGTATAATGTAGGTACTGGAAATGTTGTGTTAGATATTAAGCTAATGTGCTAATCCTTTGAATTGCTAATTAACCAAACTACAAACCAAACCAAACTGCATCTTTCTCTTATATCCCAATAGAATTATTAATACAGAATCACAATGATCAGCTCTGCAAACTCCTCCCCCTGAATCAAGCTGCAATAGCAACACCCCTGGCCGTGGCAGCTAATGACCCATTAAAGCCAATGTATTTGACAGGCTTCTGATAAGATAGCGTTAAGGCGATATTGCCTGCTTTGTTTTCGCCTCCTCTTTTTCTGATATGAATGGTTAATTAACTGTTCTTACACGAGAATTGGACTGTGATTAGCCCCAAGTCACATGAGCTGTATGAAGCCAGGTAGTGGATGTATTAACTTGGTGTGATCCATGTGGTAAGCTACAGTGAGAAACAGATTCTCCTGTATAATGAAGTACGGTTGTTTAGAAAATGGACTTACCAATGTTGTCTGGCAACTGCTAAGTGTGGTGTGAGTGACTTAGATTGTTAGCCTAGGACCAGGCAGACCTGAGTTCAAATTTCATTCAGGCTGCAAACCGCAGTTGGGCCAGTCATTATCTCTCATCCTAACTTACTGCATAGGGTTCTTATGAGGACAGAGCAGGGCAGGGCAGCTTGGTGGTGGAAGTGGCAGAGGAATATATATCTTGTTCTGAGCTTCCCAGAGAAAAGGCAGAGGGATTTTTTTTAAAAAAACTATTACTTACAAGGCAATGGTTGACTTAAAAAGCTATTTTTCTTTCCCCCTCAAAATGTCTGAATTCCATTTGCTTGCAGACTTGACATAAATAAACACCTCTCATTTGGGTTAAATGCTTCTAACTCTGTCAATTTAGAACTTGTGAGTAAAAACCCACAATTGCTCTGACATTTGGTCTGAAGTTACTGAGGAATAATATTCACTAAAGAGTTTGGATGGTGAGCCTGAAGATAAAGAAGTGTGACTTAGAATCACCATCATTCTCAGGTAATCTCTGTTTCTCACTATGCTTTACTTAACTACGAAGTATGTGCATGAGGCAGGTATTATCTACCTGTGTTATGCTGGTGGCAACATCTGTCTGTGAACTAAAGTATCAGTTCTGGTCATCTCAGGATTGTAGGTGAGGGGAAGGAGATGCCACACTGCAACAGAAAAGCCCCCTGGCTCTGTAACACAATGGAGAAGACTAATAAAATCTCGCAGACCGCTTCAATCACTCTGCATTATGGATAGGCAGACTTTTTCTTAAATGGAAAACTTGATTAAAATTAATGCTTTAAACCAGTGCTTTCTGCTTGGTGACTTAAATCACTGATTTAAATCAACTCACACTGGAACTAATTGCTGTCTCTATCCGCTAAGAAGTAAAAGATTTCCTTGACAAGGCATTATCCACAGAGCCTCTACTCAGAAAAGGCAGACAGCAACCGGGCACAGCAGACAGATTCCTTATTAATGTCATAAAACTTTGGCTGGGTATTGTACTTCTTGACTTCTCAGACTCTAGCACCTCCTAGTCTTGCAAGCATTTGATTTTACTAGCCAAGAAAGACACTAATGTACTAAAAGAGGATGTTGCAAGGGAGGTGGGCTTACCTCAAATCCCATTCCAAATATTTGTGCTGTTATTTGTTATGAAGGTAATGTCCTTTCTGCAGCTGTTATCTGAACTAGCATAAGGACCATAAGAAGCTGCCTCATAAGTCAGACAGCAAAGAAATATGTGATAATACGGCATAATAACTGAATGACTGCCTTTCTCCATCTATCTGTATATTAGTATATAAATACACCAAATTGTACATTAAAATCTGCTACTGTGAACCTTCTGTGGGGGGTCCCTGCTGTGCTGAGATGAACTGAGGGAACATGGCCATCATGGCAGTAGCACGCTGTCACGAAACAATTTCCCGAGGGAGATTTGCCTCGTGCAGTGTTATTCTCCTTTTGACATTAGGCAACCCTTCCCTTTTTTCCTGCTTTTTAGATCCTATTTTTAATCTGATGACGGATCTACATTGTTATTTTATATTTTTATTACTGTATTTTAGCCAAAACTGAACGTTCTGGAAAACCCAGATTGAATCTTCAGTGATTCCTGGTATCAAGCCTAGTGTCAAGCTATACTGTGGTTCAAAATGGTGCCCAATCCATTTTTTTTCCTGCTCCAATTTGTATAGATAGGCTGCACCCCTCAGGCAGTACAGGACTGCCCCCTTTTCCTTACCAGTTTCTGCCCAACCCCTCCCAACATCCCACATCCACCACCCCTTGCTCCTCCCCTGAAAGCTCTCATTTCTCATTTTTTCCCTCCTTTGTATCTCCTTTCACACATGCTGAAGTGTGATTCCTTTTTCTTTGCCCTGTAATTAAAACCACACATCCCACAATATTTATAAACACCTTTTAAAAATAATCATTAAAAGTGGGTTGTGGCCAGCCTCCAATATGCCCACAGAGACAGTGTGCATGTCCACCGACACCATATGAATACAATGAAAAAAGCAGTATAATCCAGGCATGTGTTTCAAGTGGCATTACACGTGTTTTGAAGCTAACCCACAGCAAATACACTTATTATTTGGTTTATTAGAAGCATGTAGTTCCAGCCTTTGTTTTATTCATTTTGTTAAACCACCCTGGGGATTTAATTGAAAGACATTCTAAACATACACACACTCACAAACTACAACAATACGCTAGGGCGAGACTGCATCACTACAAATAACAACACTGCGTTTGAACAACTTTAGCAGGTCACTGTATATTTGATATAGATATATGCTGACTGCAACTCCAGTCTAAGTACAAATATTATCAGATCTTATTTTCTGAAGGTGTCATAAAAGAGTAAAGAATCTTTCTCTTTCTGGTTCTGGAAGAAGTTTCGTTTTGGGATGTTGTATGTGGTTCTGACTGCCTTTCTGTAAGAAAGCCATAGATAAGTGGATGAAGTTCAAAGGTGTGTGATAAAGATGATGAATGCCTTGCCTCTTAGTGACTGAGCCACAAAAAGTTGTATAAAACAGGAGGAAATAGATAGACCTCAATTAAGAAATGACATTTATTGTCTAGACCATAGGTTCCCAAACTAGGGAACCATAGGTTTCCGTAGACCACTTGCCGACTTATTTGTTTTCCATAGACCCCCTATGAAATTGTAATGACTGCAAAATACGTATAAAAGTTTGTACTTACCGTATTTTTCGCACCATAAGACGCACTTTTCCCCCACAAAACAGGGGGGTGGAAAGTCTGTGCGTCTTATGGAGCGAAGAAAACAGATTATATTTTCCTGTTTTCTTCTCCTAAAAAATTGGTGCATCTTATGGAAAGGTGCGTCTTATGGAGCGAAAATTCACTTGACTTTTACCTATTTTCTATCTATATTTTTGAACGTATTTTAAGCCACTTTTCTTCTCAAAACTCAGAAAGCAACTAAATGTCTCTGACACTCCTGTTTATCAATTATGAATCAAACAAGACCATGCAAAGCTTTGATACAAGTCTAAACAAGTAAATACGAGCACGATGTGGTGTGCCCATATAACTCAGTAATGAGAAATGACAAAATGTCGTCAATCCCATTTACAACACCCCAACATTTACCATAAAAATGTACCAATAATTTTACGAACTTACACATGAATGTAGCACACCACAATATAGATAGTACATAGTACTTAATTAAATAATATTATGAAATATTATGTACACAGAATCTGTATTTGGTGTAATTGCGGATCGCCTAAATATTTATTATGATCTGCCTAATGGGATCTGCTCACGTAGACCCCCATTAACATTTTGTGCACCCCCAATTTTTTTCTCTCTCTGACGTGGAACCCTGCAAGTCGAAATCGACCCCTGGGGGTCCATATAGACCACTTTGGGAACCTATGGTTTAGACATATTCACAGGGTTATAGCATTAATGAGGTAGACAAAGTGAACTGAAGTATGCCTCTGAATTGTGCAAAGTCATAAGTCTGATGTGCACTTGACCTACACAACACACACTGTGTTGTGTAGGTCAAGTGCACATCAGACTTATGACTTTTTCCTCCCCTCACATGTACTGCAAATGTAGTTTAAGTGTTATCTGCAGTCTCAAATAAGTGATACTGGTATGGGGCTCTGCATGTGTCACAGTCCTACTTCATGTCTGAAAAAGGAGTAAAAAATTTTACAGTGGAAGATGACATTGAAGGCAGAGCTTGGAAATATTATTTTTCACCTAGAAGTCACAGAATCTCCCAATTAGCATATCTATTGGTCTTGGTACCTGGGAGCAGTAGTTCAAAACAGCCGTATTTCCATGTGCTGATCTGTTACTGCTCTGATTGAACTGTATGGCTCACAGCGCTACTACTGACTACAATCACAACA